CCCATGATGAAATCTCATCATTGAAGTCAAATGATCCAGTAAACATATAACTCATCTCCGCAAATAATTCCATCATGTTGGTGACGGAAGAAACACACCAGGATCCCATAGGCCAACCATACTTTTGAACGACCCAGTTGTTGCAATTGTTGGTGTCAGAACAACCTTCGCTGATGAACTGATAGACGGCTTCTCGTAGTTCAATATCGTCGCTGAAGCAAGTACATCCATTGGTATTGACTTGTTGTTGCGCCGAAACGTCGTCGTTGGAACAACTGGACGGGAGATGCGGGGCATTGGTTGGACTTGCACATCCAATGCAGTTAAAATGTCTCTTCCAAGCATCACTCCACTGGCACACGATACATTCATCGAGAGCAACAGTTCCTTCAAATATTCCCTCCGAGTACTCGACTTTCGAAACATTCCACGGTGACAAGTCTTGGTCAAAGGACGTGGCCAGGTGGAACATGAATGCCATATCTGTAACGGACGAAACATCCCAAGATGATAGGTCTTGATTGAAGGATGATGCCCCGTTGAACATATTCTTGGTGTTAACGACAGAAGAGACATCCCACGATGACAAATCTCCATTGAAGGATGACGCGTCTCGGAACATCCATCTCATGTCAGCTACAGAAGAAACGTCCCATGATGACAAATCTCCATTGAACGATGATGCCCGGTAGAACATGAATTGCATGTCTGTGACGGAAGAGACGTCCCATGATGACAAATCTTGGTTGAATGATGATGCGCCATTGAACATTGAATATGTATTGATGACAGAAGAGACGTCCCATGATGACAAGTCTTGATTGAAGGATGACGAAGAGTAGAACATGGATGCCATATCTGTAACGGATGAAACATCCCACGCTGATAAATCTTGATTGAAGGATGACGCGCCTCGGAACATCCAGTACATCTGCGTGACAGAAGAAACGTCCCACAATGACAAGTCTCCATTGAACGATGATGCCTCGTTGAACATACTCGCCATCTGAGTGACAGCCGAAACATTCCAGGATGACAAATCTTGATTGAAGGATGATGCGCCCTCGAACATTGAAACGGTGCCAACGACGGAAGAGACGTCCCATGATGACAAGTCCTGATTGAAAGATGTGGCTTGGTAGAACATGGACACCATAATTGAAACGGATGAAACATCCCATGATGAAATGTCATCATTGAAGAAAGACCGTCCATAAAACAATTGATACATGTTGGTGACGGAGGAAACACACCAGGATCCCATTGGCCAACCATACTTTTGCACGACCCAGTTGTTGCAGTTGTTGGTGTCAGAACAACCTTCGCTGATGAACTGATCGACGGCTTCTCGTAGTTCAATCTCTTCGCTGAAGCAAGCACATCCATTGGCATTGACTTGCTGTTGCGCCGAAACGTCGTCGTTGGAACAGCTGAAGATGCTCGAAGACGATGCGCTTGTAGTAATGGAAGGTGCCAACATCAAACACCAGATGATCGTCGAAACGAAAAGTGATGAGACTCGAACCATTATCTTGGTTTTCTTATGTTTGTTAGTGGCGACGATGAGTGACTGACTGACTGACTCACTCTGCAACAAGAGAGAAGGAGTGTTGGTGCTCCTTTTGGCAATCTATATTGATGCCGCGTATTTATTTGA